GGGCTATTACTGAATGGGTCCTCTGATTGGTTTGGTGCTGCCCTAGTCCCAGTATCCTAGAGAGAATATAAGAGGGATGGAAAGAAGCCACTAAGGTGGCTTGGACTTTCTTCTGCCTTCTACACCCCTGAACTGCTTCTCCTCTGTGATGCCCTCTGCCAGACCACCCTGCCTTGGAGCCGGCCAATTCTGGACTGAAACCTCTACAAACTAAGCCAAAAGAAACCTTTCCTCCTTTAACTTTGGCTGTTGGGTATTTTGTCTCAGCAAAAGAAAAGTAACCAAGACAAGTAGGAACATCCTGCTGAGACATCCTGCTGGAGGGACTATGGGGGAGAGAAGGGACTGAGAAAACAGAGGAGGAAGGAGGTAACAGGAAGGAAGAAGGACTATGACTGGAGGGATGTCCTGGTAGCCTCATGCCCTGCTGCAGTTATTGGGCATGAATTCACAGAGCTGTGATGGGCAACCTTTCTGTCATTCTGTGTCTTCTGAGGCAGAGTTCTTTGGAGCTGGAGGGGAAGCTGAGGAGGAAGTGGGCGCAGTGGGAATGATCTCTGAGAACTGGGATGCCAGGAGTGCACAGGGTCATGGAAATCAGGGTGGAGGGTGTAAGGAACCACTCATCCCGAGGTGTAATCCAGTGAGCCAGGCACATTCTGATGAAAACGGAAACGTCAGTGCTCAAAGGATTCTGGGGGCGGGTGAAAGACAGGTTCTGTGGGTGTGGGGCAGCAGGAGAGGTGACAGATGATGAGGTTGGCATCAGAGGGGAAACATAAATGTGTGGATGGGGTGACAGCCATGACATGCTAGCCTCCAAGGTGTGCCCAGGAAGTTATGTAGATGAAATATTTGCATGGTATCTTGGCCAAGAAAAATCATATTTTGTATTTTGGCTAAGAATGGTATGTAGCAATCAGTTTTATGACTTAAGGATGTGTGTGTGTGTGTCTGTGTGTGTGTGTGTTAGGCATGCACATTTGCATGTGTAATAATAGCCCTCACTTCTGTTTGGCAAGCTGTGGTGCACACGTATAATTACAGCACTCTGGGAGGTTGAGGAGGGAAGATCAAGCCCAGCCTGGGTAACTTGGTGACTTAGGGAAATTGTCACAAAATAAAATAAAAATAAAGGGCTAGAGATGTATTTCAGAGTGAGTGTCCTGGGTTCAGTTCTCAGGAAACAACAATAATAACAATAACCTTTTCTAAAAACAATTATTAAAATAACAATTCTTTCATTTGCATAAGTATACTGAGAATTCCTATCCAATAATACTTTACATAACTACATAAGATTGTGGTACATGCCTGTAATCCCAGCACTCAGGAGGCTGAGGCAGGAGGATCACTGTGAGTTCGAGACTAGCTTGGCCTCCAAAGTGAGTTCAAAACCAGCCTGAGTTGTATGGTGAGACCCTGTCTCAAAAAGACAAAAAACAAAAACAAAAACAAAAACAAAAAAATACTACATAAGATAATGGACCAGAAACAATGACCTGGAAGTTTTTGCTGCTGGGGCCATCAATTTATTCTTCATTTTATATATTGTGACCTTTCATGGATGAGGCCACATTTGGCTCTTTAATTCATTATGTTTCTCTCTTACCCCCAACCTATTTGGCAAATTTCCCAGAGGGTGAGAATCATTTTACGTCTTCCCTGCCTCCACAGCAATGCACACAGTATTGCTCACATTATCAATGCTTTCTGAATAAGAAGACCATGGTTGTTTTTCTTTCTGACAGTTTATCTCCCAAATGTAGGAAAGATAGGTATGGCACTGACTCTCAGCTGACACAGAAAATCTTGGAAGAGGGGGCTTCTTCTGGACCCAAGTACCCCTAGCACCCTTTAGAACATGACACCACCATTGGACCTCTGTTATCTTTTCTTCTGCCTTCAAAAATGCTTATGTCTTCTCAGTTCCAAACCCTTTGTTTGCCTTTCTTTTCTTCCCGACTGTATCCAACATTTCTCTTTTACTTGGACCTCAGGTGCCTGGAACATGCAGGTACCTATGTTGTGTCTGTGATACTTCCCTCCCTCCCCAGAGCTTCTTCCTTCAAGCTTTCTGGTAAGGATAGAGAAACCTCCTTACTGCCAGCTCCTTTAAGAATTTTGCATTTTAACAGATGATTTTTAAAACAGAAGTACATTCAAAAATGAAAAGACAAAGGAGGTCTCCACTAGGACCCCCTCAGATCATCCAGGTGACCAGCAGTACATAGCTACCTGCCTAGCCCTGCATGGGAACCTAACCAATTCTATAGTCTTGGAGGAGTTGAATCATTTTCCTTAGTAGGTGGTTATAAAAATATCTGCCCTTTGGGTTGTATAGAGGGGAATAAAACTGATATAACTGATGTGAAAGCGCTTCCTAAACCACGGAGCCTACTGACTACTGGTCTACCTTCTACCACTTAACTGAGATTTGTCCCTTAAGGCTGTCTCCTGCAGGAGGCCAGGTCAGTGATAACTGGGAGTTTAGTGCCTGAGGGGCTGAACTACCACACTGTAGTTACTCACCTGAGAGTAAGGAGAGCTCACTAGCAAACCCTAAAGTCCTTTCTTGCCCTCAACCAATGGTTATTGCAAAGTACTCAGTTGGGTATTGTTTTCTATTATGTTCTAGATATTCTGACTTCCCTGCCCAAACTGTAAACTCCTTGAAGGCAGGGGCAGTCTCTTGTAGTCCCTATAGCTTCTGTAAGCTCAGCTCAAAGCTGGACACACAGGAGATACTCAAGAAATGTGCCTACCTTGAAGTGGTTCACTGATGTACACTTCTCATGGCAATTTAAATGTAAGGACAGGACTCACCACACTCCTTCCCCTCTGCATTTCCTGCACCCCACAAATCTCCTCCATGTGCTGATACTGCGGGAAAGGGCAAGGGGTCAAAAACCTGGGGGCAGCTAATTTCTTATTCAGGTGATTCTTAAGCACTTTGGGTCTTGGTGTCATCATCTGAAAATGAGATGTAATGCTCTTCCTGCCTGCCTCAGGGTTATGAAGATCAAAGGAGGGGTTGAGCAGGGGTCAAGGCTCCAAACAACAGAAAGTGCCTCGGTGGGGTGAGGTAACACTGTCCATATCTGTTTCTTATTCTACCTGTCTGGCAAAGTCAGAGGCTGAGGAAAGCAGAAAGAAACACATTTTCAGTTTAAGTTTATAATAGAAGATATGGGTCGGGTGTGTGGCTCACACTTGTAATCCCAGCACTCGGGAGGCTGAGGCAGGAGGATCACTGTGAATTTGAGGCCAGCCTGAGCTACAAAGTGAGTTCAAGACCAACCTGAACAGCAGTGAAACTCTATCTCAAAGAAAGAAAAGAATAAAATTGTCCAAGGTATGTTTTAAAATAAACAAACTTCTTTCCCGAATAGGAGGATCTAAAGAAGATGACATGAAAGTAGGAGGGAGACTATTATTAGATGGAGGAAGAGAGTAAAGGCAAGGAGGCCTAATGACAGATGAGAATAAACTATATTAAAAAACCCAAAAAACTAAGGCTCAGGCTTTAAGTTTCCAAGGTTTGACAGAAAGCCTTGGGGAGAAAGCTGATAGCAGTATTCATAGCATCTTGGTTTTTATTTTGTTTAAACATTCTATAATTGCCAGAGAACCACTAGACAACCCAGATGGGATCTTCTACAAAATCCGTCTTCAAAACTGTCAAGGTCATGAAAGACAAGAAAAACTAAAGAACTGTCACCGGTCAGCCAGAGGAGACTAATGAGATGTGACAACTCAAGGGACTGCCTGGGTTCCGAAATGAAAAGTAATACTGGTGAGAGAAATGAGAGTGTGAACTCCGCATACAAGTCTGGAGCTTAGCTACCAGTGATTTTGACAAAAGGGCCAGGATGACATAAGCTGATAACTTCAGGGGAAACTGCCTGAAACTGGAATGCTCTACTACCTTTGCAACTTTTCTGTAAATCTAAAATTAATCTAAACTAAAAAGTTTATTGAAAAAATTAAAAGTTCAGAAGGAGAAATATTTAGCCCTAAAGAATGAGTAGTAGTTTCAGACATCTGGTTGCTTCCAGAGCTTTCAGTGCCTGAAACATAAAGAATTCCACCTCTTCCACTCACACCGAAAGCTGACCTGGTATGCCAAAAAGCATCACAGAATGACATGTTAGAGAGAAAAAACAAGAAGGAATTGTATAAAAAAATGAGGCCACAAATTACATGGCTATGGCCATAATTTATATCTATATAATTTAGAGCTATTTGCCTTTCAGAAATATGCAACATAAATTACATAGGTGATAGCTAATCAAGCAACACTTAAAAATTTAAGGGTCTGGGGATTTAGCTCAGCAGCACAGCGCCTGCCTGGCAAGTGTGAGGTCATGAGTTTGATTCCCGGTACTGGAAAAAAAAAATTATTGATTTGCTAAAAATATTGGGTTTCACGTTTCTCATAATCAATTTGATGGCCTATAGCCACTGGAGGTTATATTAGTTCTCTTCTCTACTAATTTAATTACTCTCTACTCAAGAAACTAAAACACTGTCTATTTAGGCAAATGTGAAGAAAGTTTCTAATTGATCCTCTTCACAATATTGTTCCTCACTTGACTCATTTAAAAAAAAAACAAAAACTCTCCCTGAAGAATATTCAAAGTCTACTTCATCAAATTGCTAATGATTTTAGATTTTTATTACAGGGTGGAAACATTCATGACTAACTGATCAGTAGTTCTCCAATCAGACATGGAGGTAAAGGCTTTAGAGTTGATCTAGTACAAATTCTTCTTCAGCAAATGGGGAAATGAGACTCCAGCAAAAAGCGTAACTTTTACTCTGGCAGTGTTGGGATTATTCAAGCTTTCATCTGAAAAGCTCAGTATCCCACTGTCACTCGCCCCAAAGCCACACACTCACCTTGGCTCTGGGTCTCACATTCATCTCTGCCCTTAAGGCAGAGCCACACTGTGGACTGAGGTTTTGATCAGATTTTTTCCTGAAATGCTTCAACCCACCTTATCAGCAATCTCCTGGATTTCGGGAGTAGCAGGTTTGGCCTCGCTCAAGCCTCCAGGTATCATTGTGGCTGGTTGCTTCCTCGCAGGACAGGATGCTGGAACCAAAGTGTTGGGCAAGTGTGGAGACTCGGGTTTTTAAAGAGGCGTCCGTAGCTCCGCCTATAGAATGTTCTATTTCCACCAAGAGCAAAGACGAGCAGGGAAAAGGAGGATGCTCCAAGGCAAATTTTTTGTCTCCTCCGGAGAATAAACTGAGTGGGGTTGGGACGGGGCGGGCTACAGTGAACGAATGGGCGTGTGCAGGAGTCGTGTTAAGACAGGCCACCCCCGCCCCAGGTCATCCCTGCGCCGTCTGTGGCAATGGTTCCGTTTGGTTGCGAGGTCTGAAATGTGACCTGCGAAACCGGAGTTTCCCAATGTTCTAAAACCTCCTTACAACATTTTTGTATTTTTTCAAAAAAAAGGAATACAATTTAATATCAAGGCTGACTGTTTAGAACTTACTTGATTTTAAAATTTTTAAAATTTTTACTGGTGCACCTTTGCAGTACATAATGATTGCATTCACAGTGGGGAGTTGGTGCCGGTACATAACACATCTTCATTCTTTTTACTTCCTCTGACTGTCCCTGTCTGTCCTATTTGACTTGATAAATCAATAAGAGGATTTATCTAGAGGACTTTTGCTAGATATGTACACTTCACTTTTATTTAAAATGTTTAGGATACAGGAAAACAAAGGATGACACAATAAACATCTGCATTTTTATCACTCAGAACTCTAGATGTTAACATTTTGTCTTACGTGCTTCATGTGTTTTTTGTAGTTTTTTAAAAAATGAAATGGTATAGGTATGGAGGAAGCCCCTACCCTACCCAACGTGGCCATCCACAGAGGAAAGTCTCAGTGTGGGTTTAGCATCCTCTTATAGAGGCCCCCACTTTCAGTACTGGGGGCTGAAGTGAGGGGCTTGGCACTGAGCTACATCACCAGCCCTTTTAAATTTTTTGAGACAGAGTCTCTCTAAGTCACTACGTTGCTCAGCCTGGCCTTGATTTAATGATCTTCCTGCCTCAGCCTTCCAAATGCTGAGATTACAGGCATGCGCCACCATTCTCAGCTAGCCCATATACTTAGCGTGTGCTAAGTATACTTTTTAAATTTTTACTTAAAGTTTATGCTAACTACATATTCTATGCTATACTCTTTTTCTACACAACATATTTTTGGGTTTTTCCGTATTGATGCACAGATCTACACTAGATCTATTTATTCTATCTAACTTTCATATGCTATTCTATATTTTATGTATTTTATGTATTCATCCCCATTTGATGAAGATTTTGGTTATTCCTAGTGTCTCACCCTTATAGTATTTTACTTTTGATACTGGGACTTGAACTCAGGGCCTCACGGTTGTCAGATGGGCACTGTGCCACTGAGCTACATCCCCGGCCCACCCTTATAAAGAATGTTGCATTATCTCCCTTTTGGACATGTGTAGGGCTTCATCAAGCAATTTATCTAGAGCAAAATTGCTATGTGATATGAATATATGGATTATTTTATGAAATTTTGGGAATAAGTAGTACATAGACAAGATGAAGTGTTGGAAAGGAACTGAAGAGTTTATAATGTAAAACTAGTTGCCCACTCCATTTCTCAACCACTTTTCTTCTCTCCAGAGAAAACTGCCGGCCCCAGCTTCTTGTGTGCCCTTTGGAGACATTTTTCACAAATACCAATGGACAGGATGAGGGTGGGCTTTACTGTATGTGAATCACACACCCCCAAAGTGGGAATCAAACAGCACTACCTTTAGGACGCTGTCTCTTAGCCTTGCTTTTATATTGGTTCTCAGTGTTTTCCATTAGATTCTGTACTTCTGCACCAACATCAGGCCTTCAAAAGGGTTGTGAAGGCCCCAGTTGAAGTGTGTGCCCACAGGAGGGTGTCGGCTCTCTTTCAGTGAGAGGACAAGGCGGGAGGTAAGGATCCTGGAGGTGTACACTTCAGTTGTGAGGTAACGGAGGTTGCTAAAAGTTTTGAGCTATACAGAAACCATTTACCGGAAGCAATATATAAGCTGCTTTATTAGGAAAAACACTGTTTAACTGTTTTCCTCTGTGATAGTCTCAACATTCATTACATCCTGGCTAAAATGTGTGTTTTTCCCAACACACCAACAATTCTCCAGCACACGCTGGTCGGGCATCCTACAATTCAGCATCCTGGGGAACTGTGATTACAGGTGTGAGCGGTGGCCCAGCTGGTTTGATCAATTATTAACCCAACATGCGGCCCACTCTCTTCCCAAAGGTTGGGCTGAAAGCTTCTAATCTTGGCTGTTCTTTTATGGTAGCCCCCATCCAGGAACCCACCGCAAATTGCCTACAGGAAAACAAAAGACATTCCTATGGGCCAGCAAAGCCTAAGGGTTAGGAGCTCTGTGCCAGGAACTAGGATCAAAGACCAAACACTAGAATAGCAGATTCTCTTAGCATCCCTAGCACCACTATTGCTTAGGAAATGACAAGGGTTTAGGAGCTCTATATCAGGAATTGGGCAGAAAGATCTTATTACAATTCCCAGTGTAAGAGCTGGATTAGAGAAGAAGATTCCTGAGACAGAAATAATTAGAAAGTTATCACAGTGAAAAGTGAAGGGGAGCTTGAGCCAAGGTGGAGATATGGACTGAGGAGAAATAAGACAGGTGCATTGCATAGCATAGATAATGTTAGGGGGGAGGGGGGAGCGAAGGGATGAGACCTGGGTGACCAACACAAGTGTTTTGTTTGAGTGATCACAGAGATACTTTTACTATGAGTAGAATTTGGGGCTGTGGGATGAATACAGGTTTTTTTTTTTCTCCGGTACCGGGAACTGAACTCACGACCTTGCGCTTGCCAGGCAGGCGCTTTTGCCGCTGAGCTAAATCCCTAGCCCCGAATAGAGGGTTTAAGCAAGGAGGTCAATACTGAAAATATAATTGGAGGCCAGGTGTGATGGTACATGCCTGTAATTCCAGCACTCGGGAAGCTGAGGCAGGAGGATTCCTGTGAATTGGAGGCTAGCCTGAGCTACAAAATGAGTGCAAGACCAGAACTGCGTAGTGAATCCCTGCCTCACAAAGACAAAAAAAAA